CTCCTCCTCCTCCTCCTCCTCCTCCTCCTCCTCCTCCTCCTCCTCCAACTCCTTCTCCTCCTTCTCCCCCTCCCCCTCCCCCTCCGCCTCCTCCTCCGCCTCCTCCTCCTCCTCCTCCTCCTCCTCCTCCTCCTCCTCCTCCTCCTCCTCCTCCTCCTCCTCCTCCTCCTCCGCCTCCTCCTACTCCTCCTCCTCCTCCTCCTCCTCCTCCTCCTCCTCCTCCTCCTCCTCCTCCTCCTCCTCCTCCTCCTCCTCCTCTACGCAATCTCCTGCTTCTCCTCCTCCTCTTCCCCTCCGTCTCCTCCTCCCTGCCCAGGGAGGTACGGGTGGCAGAGGAAGGAGGCGCGGGCGGGAGCCGCGGGCGGGAGTAGCGGGAGGAGCAGCGGGAGGAGCAGGAAGGAACAGCGGCAGCAGAAGGAGCGGCAGGGAGCAGCAGCAGGAGGAGCGGAGGGCATAGCAGCGTGAGGAGCGGCCAAGGAGGGCCCCGAGGCAAACGCCGACCCCCTATCGTCGACTCGGTCCGTGTTGGGCGTCGACCTGCAGTCTGGCGGGATTGCAGGTGGCAGGGTCGGCAGAGTGAGGGGAAGGAGAAGGTGGGGGTGGAAGAGGAGGGTAGGCTGAGGTCGAGCATGTCCTCCTACGGACGGATTTCGAACGAAGATTTCGCCGGCCCAACGGGCCAGAGGCGTGCTAAGATCTCCGGTAACTACTTAACACTATTTCTAGTTCGCGCGCGCGGGGCGGCCCCTGGGGGGCCCCGGACGAAAAGTACCCCGGCCGATCCCCGGCTGACCACCGGGCGATCCCCCGGGGGGAGGCTATTTTTCGCCCCCCCTCACGAGGATCGTGGGCTCCGAGGGGGGGCTGCCAACGACGACCCCCCCTCCCGCCCCAAGGGACCCCCAAGAGCCCCCCAAGAGGCCCCAGGGGAGCCCAATACGCCGCCAAGGAGCCCCAAGACGCTCCCAAGAAGCCCCCAAGACGGCCCCAAGGGGCCCCAAATAGCGCTCCAAGGCCGGCTGAATGAGCGAAGCGATTGAATAAAATGTAGCCCAACAAGGATTCGAACATGATAGAAGAATTGTGGAAGAATCGTCCCAGCATGATTGTTTAACTATTTGAATACTCCTCCTGTAGAGGGACGTGCCCGACTTAAGAGTAAGCGATCGACATTTTGCCCATGCCCCCTGCTCTCGCTCCCGGCCCCACGAGGGGGCCAGAGCGGCGGCATTGATACAGAAATCTGGCCTCGGGAGCCACGTTTTTTTTGATCCCATGCCCTGCTACCCCTGGCGTCGAGGAGTGGGGGGCCGCGGCAGGGGCATGGATCGAAGGCCGATAGCCGAATGAGCGACGGGGCGGGGGGCGGGTCAGGGAGGGAGGGGGACTGTACGGTGGAGACCCATGCCAAGAAACACACTGCTCGCCTCCAGGGTGCCCTGGGTGTCTTGGGTTTCGATGGTCATTCAATGGAAAGCGTGACGTTGCCACACCACAATTCAATGGACGTCCTGGGGTCTCAAGGTGGATTATTGTGGAAGGCTTCATGTGGAGAGGAGGAGGAGGAGGAGGAGGAGGAGGAGGAGGAGGAGAAGGGGAGGAGTAGCAGGAGGAGTAGGAGGAGAAGGAGGAGGAGGATGAGGAGGTGGACTAAGAGGAGGTTTCTTGTGGAAGGTTTCCTGTAGACCGGCCTCCACTGCAGGGAGCGAGGAGGGGATGCGCGCCCCTGCCTTGCAGTACACGCCCCAGGGGATCGCGGTGTCCACGTCTGGCATGATCCTCGTGCGAAGGCCCTCTCGGCGGGGGGGCTCGCCGTGGTCGTCGCTCCCGAGCTTCACCGCCCCCCTCGCATCTCCGCCCTCGTCCTTGCCCTCGCCCTGCCCCCAGAATCCCCGCCTCCATCCTCCTCGTCATCGTCCTCCTGCCCTTTTTGTTGCACGTTGGGCGGACGTGGAGGCCAGGCTTGTTGCGTTCCTCGGGCGCAAACAATGATTAGTCCGGCTCGGGTCTCCTCCTCCTCCTCCTCCTCCTCCTCGTCTTCCTGCTCGCCCTCGTCGTCATCCTGCTCCCTCCTGCTCTCCTCCCCCCCCTCCTCCTCCTGCTCTCCTCCTCCCCCTCCTCTTCCTCCTCCTCGTCCTGGCCCTCGTGCGGAGGGTCTCCGCAGGGAGGCCAACACAACTCTTAACTTCACCCAGCGGGTCGGCCATCGTCGCGCTGCGAGCGACGCGACAGCCGACAACCCTGGGAGAAGGGACGCGCTTCTCGTCGCGTCCTCGACGCCGACCTAACACTGCTCCCCCCTCCACTTCGTCCTCCTCCTCCTCCTCCTCCTCCTCCTCCTCCTCATCCTCCCCGGATGCGCCGTCCTCCTCACTCCCCTGCTCGGCATCCTCATTCCTCCTCCTCCCGCCACCTCCCGCCCCCTCCTCATCATCCTCCGTCGCCAGTTTGGTTCAAGCACGAGTGGCCCAAAGCATCACACCCTTTCGGGCTCGAGCTAGCCAGGGGGTGCCAGGTTCATTGCCTCCACGACCCTCTTCAGTGACTCCCACCAGAGGATCATCCATAATGATTTTCGCATTTTTCGGAGTCTGCCTCATATTCACAGCTAGCTTGTTACGCGTGTTCGATACAAAGAGCGAAGGCAACCAGCTCTACGGCGGCCGGGAGGAGTGGTCAAGTGGTGAGTGTAGCTGGCCATGAGCCTGAACGCCAGGGCTTCGGCCTGGCCCTTCCAGCTTCAGCGCGTGCACATCCCACTGCCGCAAAGGGGGTGCACGTCTTTTGCCTATTCCAGATCCAGCTGGGGTCAAGCATGATCAGCGACAGCGCAGGCACCTTCCATCTCCACTTGCAGAGGGTCAGAATGAAGGGGCCGAGCGGTCAGTCACTGTCCCTGGGCGCGTGGCTGAAATGGGACTTCGCGATGCGAACTCTTGTTGTTGTTTGTTGTTGTTTGGCGTCCCCCCCCCCGCGATCCACCCCGCGACCCACCCGCGATCCACTCCACGACCCGCCCGCAACCCACTCGCGACCCACCCGCGACCGACCCGCGACCCACCCGCGACCCAGCCCGCGACCCGCCCGCGACCCACCTACGACCCACCTACGACCCTCCCACGACTTACCCGCATACCACCCGCGACCCACCCGCGACCCACCCACGACCCACCCCGCGACCGACCCCTAGACCCATCCGCGACCCACCCGCGACCCACCCGCGACCCACCCAGCGACCCACCCCGCGACCCACCTGCGACCCACCTACGACCCACCCGCGACCCACCCCGCGACCCACCCCGCGACAACCCCGCGACCCCACCCGCGACCCGCCCGCGACCCACCCGCGACCCACCCCGCAACCCACCCACGCTGCTTTAACGAAAAATCGGCGCTTGCGTCGGGCTCGTTGTTCAATGTAAGAAAATGAGGCGCCCGCCCGCGGCGGGCTTCTGCAGAGCCTCGCAGACTGCAGACGTCCCCGCCGCCCCCTCACTCTTATACTCTTATCCGCGAGTGCGGGGTGCTAAGTATTGCAGTCTGTAGCTGGATTTTTTGCATGTGGTTTGCACCTGCTGTTGGTCCTTTTTGGCACTGGGCGTATCAAGAGGCGGGCAATCATTCCCTGTATGCTGGACCACCTGGTTTTCAAAATACCTAGTGCCACCAAGTGTTTGCACACTTTCAGGGCTTCATCCAATTTCCTCGTTCAACACCGGCTGCTTGCTTTTGTCGCTCCCTTTGTGCCCTGCCGCCGTACCAATGCACTACCTTCGGCGATTGCTGACGCACTACGGCTTGACTGAGGGTCACCCGCTTTGTCGCGTGCGAGGGCGGGTGGCCATTTCCGCCGGGGCTGGTATTCGTGGGGTGCGGTGGGCGTGCGGTGCTGGGCGTGATTGCTTTCTGACATACTGCACCGTATTGGAAACATGCGGCGCGGTGGTCAACCTCCACAGGCGGAATCCATCTCGCTCCCTCGGGTACCAACTTGGCGGGCAAGCGCGGGGGCCTCGAGCTGGTCGTGTCAAAAGGGCAGACATACTTATTCCTCTTCTTCGAACTGGCATCGTCATTCGCCAATTACATGTCCAATCGTCTCCTCCTCCTCCACCTCCTCCTCGCCTCGATGTGTTCCTGCTCGTCGGCCGGTAAGTTCCTCCTGCTGCTCCCGAGTCGGCGAATGCAACGGCTCGCGCCAAAAAGTAAGTGAGGTGCGCGGTCACCCTCGCGCCAGTGAGGCTGCAGCGTGAGGAAAACGGGGATTTTCATGGTGGCGGGGCCCGTGGTTCGCGCCACGGGTGCATTGGTCGCAGCGGCGGCCGCTGCGGCGACACATGTGGGCCCCAGCAACAACGACCCGGGTTACAACGCATCGTTACCTGAATACGCGAAGGCTTGTACAATTTAGACACAAAGCTGTTTGCAGAACTGTGCAGTGCAGGTTGCGAGAACGAGGACTTCAGGTATGTTACCAGCGGCCTCCAAGCCAACCACGAAAGGACGAGGCTAATCTTCGAGCACAGTGCCACATTTGGCATCAGGACGGTTGACGATGATGGGGCAATCACGATATTGGAGATAAGATACTGGATGGTGGCCTCTCCGAGATTGGCCATCAATCGCCACATGTCCGGCGAGGAACAGTTCGGCAATTTGAATAGCACGTTCGGGCGAACGCCTCGGCGCATGTTATCAGGATCGCTGAAGACACACATTCCGCTGGAAACACGGCGGAAGCAGGAGGTGGAAGCAAAACCACCAGCGCATACAGGGTCGCTCAACATTTAGAAATGTGGTCGGGCGAGCGGACCAGAGTCCTGGATTGGAGCCACGGTTGGATGCGCTCACCCAGGTAGAGCATGGTTAGCAGGAAACCATGGAAAGAACGGGGTAAGCACCAGGACCAGGCGGAACGAATATATATATATATATACACATATACATACATACATACATATATATATATATAAACATATATATATATATATATGTATGTATACACATATATATATATATACACACATATGGTTATTCCCCCTAACACCCCCAGTGGCCCCATTGCCGTTTTTTCCCGTTTCTCTCTCTCTCGTTCGCTCTCTCTCTCTCTCTCTCTCACTCTCTCACACTCTCACTCTCTGTCCTCTTCTGTCTATCGGAGAAGCCACGAAACCATGTTTTTTTTTTTTTTTTCATTTGCTCGTTTTCCAAAGTCCCACATACTGGGCCAGGAGGTACTGAGAACCGCAGACACAAAAACAACACCTGTGAATTGTAGGGTTTGGTGGGAGCGTGGCCACGAAGCAATGCGATTCACGGGTTGTTGGGGTTTTTTTGTCGAAACCACGGAACCGTGCTATTCACAGAGTTGTTTTTGTTGAATTCAAGGGGTTCCACACATTGGGCCGGGAGGGACCACGGGAGGGCGTAGTTTTCTTGAACAAAAAACCAGGTGAATACCTGGATTTCGCCGCTTCCCTGACGTGACATGGCTCCGTGGCCACACTTCCACCAGACCCTGCGATTCACATGTATTGTTGGTTTTTTTGCCGTCGTCAACGCCTCCTGGCCCAGTATGTGAAATTCTTGAACACAAAAAACTGTGAATAGCGTGGTTTCGTGGCTTCCCCTAACCAACAAATGAATAGCACGGCTTGGTTGCCACGCTCCTCCCGCAAGCCTTCCTGGCGAAGGAAGAGGAGGGGGAGGAGGAAAAGGAGGCAGAGGAAGAGGAGAAAAGGATGAAAGGAGGAGGGAGAGGAAGATGAGGTGGAGCAGCGGTGAGAGAACGCCACTATTGCTGCTGCTGCTCCTCGTCCTCCTCTTCTTCCTCCTGCTCCTCTCCCTCATCCACCTGTTCTTCCTCTTCTTGCGCACAAACGCGCTCAGGCGAGGCGCGCGATAGCGCCCACGCACAGCTGAAGAGGATGATGTTCAGCCTACGTCACGATGGCCACAAACAGTATGCGGATCCGCGCACATTTCGCAAGGGCATCTCCATGTCACCCGCCCAACATATCGCAACGCCGGTGGCATCTATATGAAGACTGGTTCTGTGAACACACATCTGGCCTTCAGAACCAATTCGGGCCATCCGCGCACCCCACGCCTAGCCACCGTCACTCCAAGCGGGTTCGGCTGCGTCAGCGAGAGAGCTCACTCAGCGTGGTTCTTGGCCCCCGCGTCGCGGAGCATTTGGCCAGTAGCGAGCCAGATGTCGCTGCCGCGGTTCCAGTGCGCCCGCTGGAAGGAACCCGAAGTCGACCTCCAAGAGGCCCAAAACCGACCCTCGCCGGCAGACTTTTTGTCAAAAACTCGCTTCTGGGTTTTCTGAAAGCCAGCCCTTTGCTCGCTTCCTTCAGGCGCGCCGCCGTGCCTCAGGCGCGCCGTTTCCTCGACCAGGTGCCTCAGTTTGTCGTTCTTGCTGCTGGTATTCTGGAAGGCCTTTTGGTTGATCTCGCTGCGCTCTGGGTGGGGTTTCAGTGCTTTGTGTTGCTGCGTGCTGGTACGTGTTGCTGGCGTTGTTGTTGCTGGTGTTGTTGCTGTTGTTTGGTGGTGCGGTTGTTGAATGTTGTGGTTGGGCCGTTGCGCGTTGCTGATGGCTTATAGTTGTCGCGCGGTGGTGGCGTGGTGTATTCGCGGGTACAACGTCGTCGTTCGCCTGTTATTTTGATGTGGCCATGCGTACAGGTGCGTTTAAGTTCCTCCCGACACATAGGCCGCGAAGGCGTCGCGACGCATGTGGAACAATTCTTGGCGCTGGCGCCTGACCTGTTGAGCGAGGGCGGCCTTC